ACTCGTTTTGTTGTGTGTATGTCCCGGGCCAAACCCAGGCCAAACCATGACTGTATTAATTGTCTGAAGCTAACTGGTTGAATATTGATATAATGGTTGTTTATTCTTTTTGCTGAGTGGGCAGATACTGGCATTTTTGTCTTTCTGGTTGTACCTTCCAGATAATGACACCAACATAGTGATAGAAAACTTATCGACACTTTTAAAATACAATAGGGCTGTGTTTTTGCCCTCCCGTCAACACGGTAATTACTTGTTAGAGGGGTATGGCGTTATTTTTTCAGGGATCAACAACTCTGTTCTTGTCAACATAACAATGTTAATTGTAAAGAAAATAAGAAAATGATAATGTGAGATAGTTTTAATCTGGTTACTGAGCTTCCCGAATTGTGTTTGATCTGACGTAATTCGAACCAAACGGCGTTAGATCGGAGGTCACCAGCAATCATTTACAGTAAAACCAGGTTTTCAGGCCCTTTTTACACGAGAAAAAAAATCACAATATCACAAATACAAACCATTTCCTGGAGAGTACGTGTACGCATATCATTTTGTTGCAGACAAAACAAGACTTTTGAAAAAAGTTTATCTCGGCCGCTGGCCATGTAGTTTTGTGTTCTTTGAGGATGTCCACATAGATTTGTGTAACTGCTAGAGAGGAAAGAATGTATTACCTAGTATGTTCATACCTGTAACACCAAACAGGGTAATAAGTTGGCTTCCATTATCATTTGCTTCAATGGAATTAGTGAAAAATATTAATCTCGAAGCAGATGTTGGGAGGGAAAATGTTTAGGTAGAGATACAGATTTTCATTTGTGATTGAAGATTTGAGAGACAGGAAAGAGTTTAGGATATGTATGTGGAGCTAATTTCTCTGTTAGAGTAGGTTACACAGCTCTATGTATGGGGAAGACATTTTTTGGAATCAGTAGTGTCATGTTGTATATTACAGAGGAACTATGTTTCATCTGTATGTTTCATTGAAATTGTAATGTCTGGACAATACTGATGAATAAAGAGCAAAGATGCATGTGTCAAAAGTGAAATGTTTTATTTTGGTATAACTTCATGAGACAACACAAAATGGAGTGGCTACAATAACAGAGCTGTCAAACGTTATCAAGCTTAATGCACTAACATATTGTTAGGTTGTACGAAACGTAACTCTGTTTAAATCTGTTCAACAGCACGAATAAAACACAATGTAATTGATTGCCCTTGCCCGTAGTATCTTTAGCTCCATTTTTATCCTATGGCTCTATGCCTAATACCCTTATAATTCCTGATATTTTGCTATTTTTGCTAAGTAAATACCTAAGCAGCCTCATGCGTTACATCCGGGATCTTCGATATGGGAAATTCCATTCAGGCCACTAATCAAAAGCGACATCTTGCGACCGAGGAATATAGTGCACTTCCATAACCTTCGTCTTGACTTATTCAGATGTCTCAAGGTAATATTAAAACGTAATTTTTAAACTTGGTTTATTGGTGCAATTGCAGCAGTTATTACCAAATCTTTATAACATTTAATGCATACTACTCTCATGTCCCTAATAAACATACCCCCCGGAATAAACATACCCCCCGGACAAATCTTCAAAGTCTAATATACATACCCTCCGGAATAAACGTACCCCCCGGAAAATGACCAAATTGACAGGTGAACGGTACTAAAATGTGCTCTTTATTTCAATACCAATGTATGGGCAAATCTTTCACTGTTACTTTTGATTAGGAATATAAATATACTGTACTAGTACTCAACAAACAGTGTCGACATTACAGCCATATTACACCACTAGCAATAGGGGTGGGTACCTGTTCGGCTCTTCCAGGTCCAGAGGATCAGGTCCAGGTCCGGACCTGTACCTGTACCTGATTCTGAATACCGGAGTTTCAGTACCGAATTTTTTTTGCTAAATGATCATTGCTAAATACAATATAACGTTAAGTATATGTAACCACTACAATAATTTTCATTTTATTTTATTTTTTTATTTTTATTTATTTTTTATTTATTTTCATTTTATTTTTTATTTTTTTATTCTGTTTTATTTTATTTTATTTCATTTAATTTTATTCTATTTTATCCGTTCTATGCATTATCAAACTTCTCCTCTACTGCTAGAGCTACTAAAACTTCAGACCGAATATATTAAACATTTTAATTCGCCCCCTCTAGCGGTTTGGGACAAATTGCAGCTTTCCAAAAAAATCCAAGATGGCGGCGGCAGATCGGCGCGGCTCGGCGACATTTGCCGATTTCATTGTATTTTCCTTGGTCTTTTACGCGATCCAAGCAAAGAAAACAAGTTGACCACAAGAACAAAAGAGTAATACAGCACTGGGAATCTAATGGTCCGTTTTGTTGGGCGGTAATTTCTCATTTCAAGTGAATATTTACGTGCGTCACAGTGATTTATTCACCAATCAAAAGCGACATCTTGCGACTTAAGCAAATATGGAAGGTTAATGTACATAATTTATGTCATTGATTTATTGGTCCAATTACCGCAGCTATTAGCGAAATTCTAGAACCTTAAATGCATACTATGATATTAAACAATGGTTTTGTGGTAAACAGCATTTCCTCTTTTTTAGCAACTTCGTTGTATAAGAATAACGACACTATCATCCGGTAGCTCGACCCCACAAAGTAAAGTATACACGCAGAGTAATTGGTTTCATTGGTTTTTTTTTTCACGGTCGAAATCAAGATTTCAACATCCAACGTACATATTTTGGAGCACAATACCTCGGCCGCTCAGGCGGCCGAGATAAAAAACTGTAGCGAAGCTACCGTCGTATTCGTGGGTGACCTTGAATATTATTATGATCCTTTACACTAGTATGAATATCACACTCCACACTTTTGGCAAAATGACATGTCTGAAAACTCGTTTAAACGTGGAAGTATACCTCATTGACAGCTCAAATAGACTGTAACAGTTTTCTGCAAAGTCCCTGAGAGGCTGAAACAATACTGTTTTAAGGACTTTTGACAAATGCACTCGAGTTTGAATAATGGGTAATTAAGTGCGAAAAACAGCAGAAAAAACAATTCTTTACCTATTTGTCGACCAAAAATATACTTTAAGACGGAAATTTAAAAAACAAAACTAAATAACGACTTTTTTGTCTTATTCCTACTCCTAGTTAATTGTCGAAAAATATAAAAATCAAGGATCTTGCGTAAAATTTGTAGCCACATTTCAACGATGATTCGCTATAATATGGCGCTCCTAAATCCCTTAAATTAGAGAATTTACGATTAAAATAAAAAAAAACACCCAACAAAAACATTGCCATTGAATGTATTTAAAGACGATAATGTTATCTCATTTCAACGAATTGTTTTATGTTTAGCCCAAAATTGCGTGTTTTAACCCGTTACTTTTTTGAATGCCTCTAGCATTGGAAGAGAATACCGTAGAATACAGGCCGTATCTAGACTTGTCAGTTAGAAAATGCCACAATCTTCTACCCCAACTTGTGCCAGACTTCCTCTGGCACTGGCTGCTGTATTTTCTAGGGTGTGCCCTTCGGCAGTTGATCCGTGATATCTTGAGACAAACAACCCAAGGTTACTCTTATATGCATAAATATGATGCTGTTAATTGTCTGAAGCTGGCTATTTATATAGATTGAACATCTATTATCTAGACATCACGATATCAGTATAATCATGATAGAGGTACAGGTTTGTTTTCGTCATACCAAGGGCATTATAATGTCCTTGGTCATACCAAGTATCAATCTAGATTTCAATGTTTCTTTTGCAGTTATTTTGATAATCTAACTCCATATTCTGTTCCCAGACGGTACTCTCAAACGATTCCAATGCCCGTTTCACTAATATAAGGCCATGTTAGTGTCCTCTAAAAATGCTTGTGTCTAAAGCCCGTATGGTTGCTATAGATAAAGTTGTGTACTCTTTATGATGACGTTTGCAACTTTTATATAAAAAAATCAGCAGAAGAATAGAAAATGTAACATTTTTCAGAATTATGTCAGTTTGAAATCGGGGCCCAGCAATGTGCGGGAACGATAAGAACGAAAAATATAACAAAGCACAATAGAGTAGAAAACATGGTAATCAGCACTATTTGCACATATTCTTAAAACGAAGGTTTATTGTTAGTTAATCGTTAAATGAACAGCCCGGTCTTGCCCAGGCTTGGAAATGTGACCTCGGCATAAAGAGTCATCTCCCTTTTTTGAAGACCGTCGCAAACAATATTAATTTGCCTGTATGTCGATAGAGCTTAGAATTACCTATTTGAATTAATTACACTGTGTTTCGCAACCATTCTCGACCAAAAAAATGCAAGAAAAACTGTTAAGTGTAGACAAACAAGCCGTAACACTGGTTATAAACACAATGTTGAAAGCCTTGTGCCTGTAGTTTTATGGAGCTAGAACCCTAAAACATTTCAACATACTGTGGCCTGGCAAGGAGATGTGGTCAATCTGATTTTTCCTCTTTGGGGGAAATGGCGCCAGAAAAAAAAAAAACGATGGAGCAGACTTTTCAGAACCAACATGCATTATTTTTTAGCGGATGTTCAAAATTATGTTAAACTTTTCGGACGGCTGGACTTCTTCCTAAATGCTCTCAATATCAGTGTTTATTACTTTTGCCGATATTTTGATAACTCTGTTCACATTTTCGAGACATACTGTAGAAATCAACAGTATTCATGCAAAAATTAAGATGGCGATTTCTCTTACTAGATTTTTCTCAATTACTGAAACATAAGTATTATAGGATTGTGCTTCTTAGTTCCTCTCCTCTAAATAATGCGTTGGTCGGTGCTGGTGGATAGATAAGGTTGTTTAGTATTTATAGGACTGAGTTTTGCAACCACCTTGGATCAAATAGAATTTAAAAATCTATGTAATCATTTAAAATCTTTATGATAAGCTTAAGGATAATTGTAATTCCATGGAGCCAGAGCCATGAAATATTTGCTAATGGTGCGTCCTGGCAAGGCCTAGTCGTAGGCAGTGTGATCTGATTTGTCTGATTCGGGCGTGATTTCTTAGAAAGGTATGATGGCATCAGAAAAAGGGATCAGAAGCATCCCTGTCCTCCTCTAAAAGAATAAGCTTATTTCCAAGTGGATGTAAAAAAAACTGTTAAACGTTTATGCAGCCTGCCACCGTTACCAACATTCAGAAAATGTAACTTTCCGACTTGCCGAACATAGAGAATTAAAAGGCATGACAGCATGTCTACACAATAACAATTACGTAAACTATGTATCCACTGTCTGAATCAGAGCTTAGAATTCAGCCAAATACCATTTTCAGCGCAGGACATCAGGCACAGGTTTCTGTTGTTCTGGTAGGGTCCGTCCTTTGGTAGCCCGATTCGTAAAGCAGTGTGAGAAACAACCCATTCATAGGTTTTACATATACAAAGCGGGGTTAATTGTCTGAAGCTTGATGTTTGAATAACATTTATGCTTACGATAAAAATCCTATTGATAATTCAGGTCTCGTGATGCAAGAGTAATGCTGGTTACTTGTTTTTTTTTCATACTTTTATGTCTAGTCCAAGCAAGATGCAAATGAAGATCTTCTGTCCGGTTTGTTTGACAAGCATGAGGTCATATTTAGGCACCTGACAGGTCACTCACCGGTTCCTAATCGACAGGGAACTGACAAAGAATAATTTGGTATCACCATCTATAGAGATATGATCTAAAAGGGTCGGTCGGCAGTCGTTTACTTCTATCATAGGTGTCCAAATATATCGTGCATGGTTAAACATGCCGACTGTGCATCTAAAATACATTTATCACATTCTTCTTTCTAATTCTGAAGTTGAGCTTTGTGAGAAAAGACCTATGTGAATCACTGCCTGCATTTCGACACATGGTCGAAAACATTGCTTTCCGTATATGTATTCATGTGATAAATATACATGTGTATTTACACATGCTTAATTGCCTTGTGTAGAGAATTTAGTAGTAGAGAATAGTCTGATAGGAAAGGAAGTCCTTGTGGTCGAAAATACATTTTTGTTGCATTTAGCATAACTGCTAAATCGTCTTAAGCCACAATGTAGTTTGTCATATCAAGTCGGCCTGTCCTTTGTTTCGGCACTTTCCTTTTATTTCTCAACATCCTCTTAACAACAGCCATTTCTGAATAAAGCTTCCCTTCTGACCCTTTCTTATGTTTTCCATCTAGTTGCCCCTTTTAAAGCCATACCATTCTCTACCATTTATTTAAATCCGCATAAATACAACAACATGAAAATACATTCCGTTGTAGAAATATGTGTTACACGATGAAGTACAGCTATACCATTAACGATAATGATTGCCATTAACCGAAAAGGTATTGTCACAATTGTCACAGCAATACATTGTAGTACGATAAGGAAAAATACTACCGATATTACTCGTGTAAATGCAACATTCACGTTTACAAAAAAGTACACTTACAATTATTTCCAAATATAGCCGACCGTTATTCATTAACTTGTGTTAAAATCCCCATCACAAGCCGATTGGGCCCCCCTCCGAGAGCTCATGACAATACACACTCGAGAAATTAATTCCCAGAACTACCAAAAAAATATGGGATCTGGTATACTTTAAGCCATGAAAAATATGCATAACAATGATCTTTGATTCTGTCTGTATATTACATACATGTCAACCCAACCTTAAACACTACTAACAGACTGGTTTCAGTCTGACAAAATTGGCACATATGCATGAACCAATAGGATTAGATGTTCCTAATTCCACTGTCTGAATGTTTGTTTGTTTGTTTATTAAGGAATCTCCATTAGTGATAATATGTACATCACTACTCTTCCTGGAGTCCTGGAGTCCAATGGAAGGAGATTTCCTGTTCTAAGTAATAGTTAGCCATCGTGCATGCTTCTAGAGAGTTGGACAGCAGAAAGGCTGATAGGAGTCAGACTAGTCATCTTTGGTATTTTGTGCAGGCGTTTGCTCTGCTAATTTTGTACAGTACTTTGTTCTTCTACTTTTATTATGGTCTTTGCTCTGCTACTTTTGTTTAGGTCTTTATTCTGCTACGTTTGTGCAGACCTTTGCTCTGCTATTTTTGCATAGGCCTTTGCTCTGCTACGTTTGTGCAGGGTTTCGCTCTGCTATTTTTGTGCAGGATTTCGCTCTGCTACTTTTATGCAGGGATTTGCTCTGCTACTTCTATGCAGAAGTTTGCTCTGCTACTGTGTGCAGTACTTTGCTCTGCTACTGCTCAAACTTAGCTTGTCTATACTTTACACAGAATGACAGAAACACTCCTACTCTTCTTGGTTTAGCCATGATTATAAAAAATAATAACTGTTACCACATATATTGATTGTTAAATTAAAAAAAAACATTGAACTTTTATACAGCGTATACTGCATTGGTGTTTCTGAATTAGATATTGTTAATCTTATTCCGGCATCCATGAAATAGTGTGTTTTGTTGCATCTAATTCCTCTGGGGTTCACTTTATCTGTCAGTAGCCTGAAAGCTACTTCTAGTTTGTTTAGAAACTGGACATGATTACTTAGTAGATTTGGACCCATGTTATACTAATACTGCAGTGAAGTTGTAGCTTTAATATTATATGCTCATGCTTTGGGAGTCAGGTGAGTTTAGTTCGTTTGCTGATTTAAAATAGTCCAAAAGCTCTTCCAAGACCATATATAGATCTCTTAAAGTCGTTTTATTGATCTTCATTGACCGTATACTTTCTTTGTAATGCTGTCCAATAGTCCCCTGTTAAAACGTAAATTTGATTATGGTGTATCCATGTTTTTATAGAGGGAATTTAACTCCGAGGCAGTAGCTAAAGGCGCTGTAGCGTAATGCATATTTACAGCGTCCAAATCATTTGTGATGGTCTCATTTATATATTGGTCCTGCCCTGTCTGACCATGTTGGTTTTCGTACGGCGAATTAAGCTGAGAGGCAGTTGACTCTGTACCATACAATTTAGTTCCTGCATCCAAGAATTTAGTGATGTTTTGATACTGACCCTGTCCTGTCGGAATATGGTCACTTGTTACTGCAGTAGTTGTGGTGTTTGCATTGGATTCAATAATGGTCTGATACTGACCCTGTCCTGGCTGATTATGGCCACTGGTCACTGCAGCGGTTGTGGTGTTTGTGTTGGATTCAGTGTTGACCTGAGACTGACCCTGCTCTGTAGGAATATGGTCACTGGTCACTACAGCAGCTGTGGTGTTTGGGTTCGATTCAGTAATGGCCTGATACTGACCCTGCCCTGTCTGATTTTGACCATTGGTAGATGTTGGGCTTTCTACATACATAGTATTGGACTCTACTTGATCAGTTTGAACTTCATCATGTGATATATTACCCACTTTTAGAGATTGATTGTTAGCCTGAGACTGGCCTTGTCCAGTCTGACTATGACCACCGTCCATTACAGAATTTGTGTTGGTACCAACGACATTGTGATTCAGCCCTTCTTTTGCCCTCCTTTTGTACCAAGCTGTAAGAAGGATGGTGACGATTAGGATAGTGCCAGGCACTACACCAAACATCGAACCAATGAGGACAAGTCGGGACGGGCTGATGGGAGAAGATTCATTGGAACTACTGTTTTTTGGTTTGTCTGACACGACTGTAGGGGGTGAAGTTAGTTCAACTGTTTTGATTGGTTTGCAGGCACGATGTGCTGTTAAGCCAGCATTGCGTGTGAAGTACCAATAGTATCGAGAAGTGGTGGTAATAATGTTGAAACTGTTGTTGGCTTTTTTATGGTTATAATTAGAACTTGTAGATTGTGTAACAAGGAGCTTTGTGGCAGATGTGTAGCCTTCGGCATCTGCTGCTAGATTTGCGTTGTTTTTTGTGTGGCCAACTGAAGATGTTGACACTGCAGATGAAGTAAAAGGGGTTTGGATTTTAGCAATCGTTGTTGACATGTCTGGCTCCTTGCATAATATTATCATTTCTGCAAGATTGATATACCCAAGCTTCTTTCCTTTGAATTGTGGGGGTTCGGTACATATTACCTTGTCTTTGAATGACGGAAAGTCAGTTGTTTTCAGCCTTAAGGGGACCATCTTACAGTCACACTTCCAGGGGTTTCCGTTTAGTTGTATATTAGTAATAGATGGCAACAAGCCATAAGCTAAAGGGGAAATGGTATGCAGCTTGTTATCCCGAAGATCTAATTTTTGTAGCCTTGGTGTTATTGCAAATGCACCTGGCTGAATTGTGCTAATCTGGTTTCCCTTCAAACTCAGTGTTTTGAGTCGGGGTAAGTTTACAAATGCACCTGCATGAATCTCTGTTATCTTGTTGTGAAGAAGAACCAAATTTTCGAGCTTGAATAGATTTGCAAATGTACCTGCCATAATTTTTGTTATTCTTGTATTATCCAACCACAACTCTGTAACTTGTGATAGATTTTCAAATGCACCTGCTTGAACCATTGTTATCGGGTTTGCAATCAGATATAACTTTTCTAGCCGGATTAGATTAGCAAATGTACCATATCGAAGTATAGTTAGCTGATTACTGTTGAACCCCAAAGTACGGAGCTGGATTAGATTTTTAAATGTATCTGTTTGAATATTTGCTATCTGGTTGCAATGCAGCTGCAACGTTCTGAGCTTGGCTTGGTTTTCAAATGTACTTGGGTGTATGCTAGTTATTTTGTTGACATATAAGTCTATTTTGCGTAACTGGAGTAGATTTTTGAATGTCCCAGGATGGATATTAGTTATTTGGTTTTTACTTAAGTACAACTCTTGAAGATTAGGCAGATTAGGGAAGCAATCAACAGTGCTAATAAGATTTGACCCCAAATGCAACTTAACCAAATCCGTGTACCGTAACAGCTGAGACTGATGTACAGCTGCAATACGATTCCTCTCCAAATAAAATCCAGTGATAGTTGTTGGTTGGTTCTGAGGAATACTGGTGATTAGTTTGTCTGAGCAGTGACAGGGTACAAATGGTTGACAGCTGCACTCACGCCAGCTCTGGCTAGCTGCTGGCGTGTTGAGCTCCTCCAGGATGATAATGAGGAAAACCAGCAGGTGTCGCAGCTTTCTTCTCATTGTGACACCTAAAGAAACAGGAACCACCTCGTAAAATCACTCCGACTTTATATCTTGAATACGAATAAAGAAAGATTCGGCCACCAATTGATACCAAACTTAACTCATTCAATTTCAACAGTTGTTTGCACACGCCCTATTGTATCCAGAACCATATTATCTTTTTCTTGCCTAAATTATATATTGTTTTGGGGATAGGATAAGGCGCAGTTGTAGATAGTGAAACTAAGGACGTAAATGTGCCCCTGGTACAGTTTTGGTCATTCTCTACGTATCCAGCATCGCATAATTGCCAAAAACCTATCTAGAAACGTACGCAAGAATAGCTCTGAATTTAGCTCGGTTCTGGATACAACCCCCCCCTTCTAATGCTATCGAACCATAAGAACATCTAGTTTTCTAGGTATTGATTCATGTCCCGAGTCTATAAGATCTTTTTGTGCCTGCAAGGCAGTTTTTAAGAGACAAAGAAATCCCAAAAGTAGAAGAAAAAAAGACTAAAAGCCTATTCTGCATCTTTGATTGAAGAGTGTCTTGGACTGGCAACAAAAAAGACGGATACAAAAAAAATCACCTGTTGTTGAACACGTCGCAATGTGGAAGTAATCTCTGTATGTTTTGTATTTCTGATATTGTGATTTATTTCCACGTCAGAAAATGCCACAATCTTCTACCCCAACTAGTGCCAGAATTCCTCTGGCACAGGCTGCTGCAGTTTTTTTCAGGGTGTGTCCTTCGGCAGCTGATCCGTGATGTCTTTTGACAAACAACCCAAGGTTACTCCTGTATACATAAATATGATGCTGTTAATTGTCTGAAGCTGGCTATTCAGATAGAGTTAACATCTGTTATTTTGACATCATGTTATCAGTATAATCATAAAAGAGATACAGGTTTGTTTTCGTCCTACCAAATATCAATTTTTGTCGATATCGCGATATTTCAATAACTTTGTTTGCACTTTCCAGGCGGTTTCTCTTAAACGATTCCAATGCCTGTTTTGCACCATGTTAGTGTCCTCTAAATAATGCGGGTGTCTAAAGTTGGTTGCTAGATAAGGTTGTGTACTCTTTATGATGACGTTTGCAACTTTTATAAAAAGAAATCAGCAGAAGAATAGAAAATGTTACATTTCGCAGATTTATGTCACAGTTCAAAATCGGAGTCCAGCCGAGCAATGTGCGGGAACGATAAGAATGAGGTAAAGACAACAAAGAACAATAGAGTTAAAAATGATAAAGAGCACTACTTGCGCATATTCTTTAAATGAATTATTTTTAATTAAATGAAACAGCCCGGTCGGGCCCCGGCTTGGAAATGTGACGTTGGCATTAAGAGTCATCTACCTTTTTTGAATACCGTCACAAACTATATAAATTGAACTGTATTTTGATGGAGGTTAATAGAATTACGCGTTTGGATTTATAAGACTGCGTTTCGCAACCATTCTCGACCAAATAATACAACTGTAAAACACTTGAAGTATATACACAAATTAAGATGAAGATAGTCACTATCCTCTAAATAATGCCTTGGTCCGTGCTGATTCCTAGAAAAGGTTCTATAGTATTTATAGGACTGTGTTATACAAGCACCTTGTATCAAATAAATTATAAAAATCTATGTAGGCAAGTAAGCCGTAACCGTTGTATATACCCATTGTTTAAAAGCTCTATGATAAGGATAACTGTAATTCTAAGGAGCCAGAGCCCTAAATTATTTAGAACAGTGCATCCTTGCAAGGCGTAGTCATAGGTAGTCGATCTGATTTGTCTGGTTTGAGCAGGATTTGTTAGAAAGGTATGATGGCGTCAGAAAAAGGGCTCAGAATGCAGCATCCCTGTCTTCTGAAAAATAAGCTTATTTCCAAATGGATGTTAACAAAAGTTGTTAAACGTTTTAGACAGCCTGCCACCGTTACCAACAGTCAGAAAATGACAATGACTTGCTGACCATAGACAAATAAAAGGCAAGTCAGCATGTCTAAACAATAACAATCACGTAAAAGATGTATTCCCTGTTAGAATCGGACCTTAAAGACAGTCAAATACCATTTTCAGGGCAGGACCTCAGGCACAGGTTTCTGTTGTTCTTGTGGGGTCCGTCCTTTGGTAGCCCAATTCGTAATGCAGTATCAGAAACAACCCCTGCAGAGGTTTTACATATTCAAAGAGGTGTTAATTGTCTGAAGCTGGATGTTTAAATAACATTTATGTTTACAATAAAAATCGTATTGATAACTCAGGTTTTGTGATACAATACTAATGTTGTTTACTTGTTTTTCCACACATCTTCATGTCTAGTCCAAGCAAGATGCATATCAGGATCTTCTGTCCAGTTTGTGGGACAAGCATGAGGTCATATTTAGGCACCTGAAAGCGCACTCACCAGTTCTTTATCGACAGGGAACTGACAAGGAAGAAGTTGGTATCACCATCGATAGAGATATGATCTAAAAAGTTCGGTAGGCAAGCAGTCTTTTACTTCTATCATAGGTGTCCAAAAATATCGTGTATGGTTAAACATGCCATTTGTGCATCTGAAATACATTCATCATATTTTTCTTTCTAATTCTAAAATTGAGCTTCATAAGAATCTATGTGAATCACTGTCTGCATTTCGACACATGGTTGAAAACACACTCAGCTTTCCGTAGATGCATTCATGTGATTAATATACATGTGTATTTACGCATGCTTAATTAGCTTGTGTGAAGACAGACTTTACTCAATGCAGTACTTAGTAATAGAGAAGAGTCTGATAGGGCATTAACTCCTCGTGGTCGGAAAATATCTTTATTGTATTTAGCATAACTGTGAAATCGTCTTAACCCATATACAATACACCACTTTGATATGGTACGTGTGTTTTAAGGTCTCATTTCAAGTCATTCTATCCTCTGGACACTTTCCTTTTATTTCTCAATCATTTCTTGACAACAGCCATCTCTGAGTGATTCTTCCTTTCTGATCCTTTTCTTATATTTTTCATCTAGTTGCCCCATTCTGAGCCCTACCTTTCTTAACCATTATTCAAATCGTATGAATGGGTTCGAAAAAACAACTGTTACATTAAAATACAGTACGCTGCAGAATACGTATTACAAGATGAAGTACATTAACGGTAATGATTGCCATTACTGAAAAGTTATTATCACAATTGTTACAGCAATACATTGTAGTACAATAAGGAAAAATACTACTAATATTACTAGTATGTAAGGCGGCGTTTACTTCGAAAAAAAGGTAAGCAGTGATTACAGTTTTATTTTTACCTTCGCCATAGAAGGTTATGTTTTCAGTAGCGTTTGTCCGTCTGTCTGTCTGTCTGTCTGTCTGTGAACAGCATAACTCAAGAAGCTTAGTATGCATTGTCATGAAACTTGGTAGGTGGGTAGGTCTTGATAAGACCTAGAAATGATTAGATTTTGGGCCCCCTGGCGGCTTTTGTTGGTACTGCAGCAGAACTTTCGGTTTTAATATCTCGCAATCTGGATATGTCAGGGTCACGAATTTTGGTTGGTAGATAGCTCTTGAGGTAGAGAAGAAGTGACATAAGTTTGGCCCCCCTAGCGCCTTGTTCTGGAACTGCAGGAGCATTTGTTGAAAAATTTTTGAAGGATGATAACTCAAGAACCGGTGGACGGATTGTCATGATTTTTGGTATGTAGGTAGCTGAAGTGATGCTTGACACAATCAAATGATAATTATGCAAATCAGGAGCTAATTTGCATAATTAATGAGTAAATTCTATAAATCTGCTTCGTTCGATAATAGGACTATGAAACACGTGTGACATGTAATAGAGAACGAAAAAAACATCTGAGGATATAGATTATGTAAATGAAGACCTAATTTGCATAATTAATGGGAATATTTTATAATTTCATAGTTGTAACTTCTGGGAATTTCATACTTGCCACATTTGGAAGTTAAGTGAAGGCGAGCATCAATAAACATAATTTATTCAAATCATGACCTCATTTGCATAATTTATGAGAAAGTGCTATAATAGCCTTTTTGTGAAGATAAGGTTGTCATTGGGTGGAAAATATGATCAACTGATATAATCCATGCTAATGAGGCTCTTATTTTCAAAATCAATGATTAAAATTGTATGATTCTTCAACCGCAAGGGTTAACATCATTTGGCGAAGGTATGAGATCGTGGAACTCTTGTTCCAAATGTAGCCGACCGTTATTAATTAGTATGTGTTAAAATCTCTATCACAAGCTGATTGGGCCCCCTTTCCGAGAGCTCATAACGATACACACTCGAGAAATTAATTCCCAGAGCTACCAAAAAAATCTGGGATCTGGTATACTTTTAGCCATGAAAAATATGCATAACAATGATCTTTGATTCTGTCTGTATATTACATACATGTCAACCCAACCTTAAACACTACTAACAGACTGGTTTCAGTCTGAAAATATTGGCACATATGCATGAACCAATAGGATTAGATGTTCCTAATTCCACTGTCTGAATGGAAGGAGATTTCCTGTTTGAAGTAATAGTTAGCGCTCATGCATGCTTCTAGAGGCTTGGAAAGCAGAAAGGCTGATAGGAGTCAGACTAGTCATCTTTGGTATTTTGTGCAGGCCTTTGCTCTGCTAATTTTGTACAGTACTTTGCTCTTCGACTTTTATTAAGGTCTTTGCTCTGCTACTTTTGGTTAGGTCTTTGCTTTGCTACTTTTGTGCAGGGTTTCGCTCTGCTACCTCTGTGCATGTTTTTGCCCTGCTCCTTTTGTTTAGGTCTTTACTTTGCTACTTTTGTGCAGGGTTTCGCTCTGCTTCCTCTGTGCATGGTTTTGCCCTGCTACTTTTGTTTAGGTCTTTGCTTTGCTACTTTTGTGCAGGGTTTCGCTCTTTTACCTCTGTGCATGGTTTTGCCCTGCTACTTTTGTGCATGATTTTGCTCTGCTATTTTTGTGCAGGGATTTGCTCTGCTACTTCTATGCAGGGGTTTGCTCTGCTACTGCTCAAACTTAGCTTGTCGATACTTTACACAGAATGACATATACACTCTTACTGTTCTTGGTTCAGCCATGATCATAAAAATAATAACTATTACCACACATATTTTATACAGCGTTACCATATAACCCGTAATTTGCAAATGGTTCTTCTGGAATAGATATTGTTAATTCTATTCAGGTATCCATGAAATAGTGTCTTTTGTTGCATCTAACTCCTCTGGGGTTCACTTTATCTTTCAGTAGCCTGAAAGCTACAACTAGTTCGCTTGGAAGCTGGACATGATTAGATTTGGACCCCTGATATACTAATACTGCAATGAAGTTTCAGTTTTGATATTATATGCTTATGCTTTAGAAATTCAGAAGAGTCTTGTTTGTCCAAAAGTTCTTCCAAGATCATATGTAGATCTCTAAACGTCTTTTTATTGATCTTCACTTCATTGACCGTATACTTTCTTTGGAATGCTGTCCAATAGTCCCCTGTTCAAATGTAGATTTGATTATGGTGTATCCATGTTTTTGTAAAGAGAATATAACTCCGAGGCAGTAGCTGTAGGCGCTGTAGCGTAATGCATATTTACAGCGTCCAAATCATTTGTGATGGTCTCATTTATATACTGGTCCTGCCCTGTCGGATCATGTTGGTTTTCGTACGGCGAATTAACCTGAGAGGCAGTTGACTCCGTACCATACAATTTATTTCCTGCATCCAAGAATTTAGCGATGTTTGGATACTGACCCTGCCCTGTCGGAATGTGGTCACTTGTCACTACAACAGTTGTGGTGTTTGCGTTGGATTCAGTAATGGCTTGAGTCTGACTCTGTCCTAGCTGATTATGGTTACTGGTCACTACAGCAGTCGTAGTGTTTGTGTTGGATTCAGTAATGGCCTGAGTCTGACCCTGCTCTGTCGGGATATGGTCACTGGTCACTACAGCAGCTGTGGTGTCTGGGTTCGATTCAGTAATGGCCTGATACTGACCCTGCCCTGTCTGATTATGGTCACTGGTCACAACAGTAGATGTAGTGTTTGCGTTTGATTCAGTAATGGCCTGATACTGACCCTGCTCTGTCTGATTGTGGCCATTGACATATGTCGGACCTTCTACAGACGTAGTATTGGACTCTACTTCATCAGTTTGAACTTCATCACGTGATAGATTACCCACTTTTAGAGACTGATTGTTAGCATGAGACTGGTCCTGTCCTGTCTTACTATGACCAACGTCTATTACAGTATTTGTGTTGGTACCAACGACATTGTGATTCAGTCCTCCTTTTGTCCTCCTCTTGTACCGAGCAGTAAGAAGGAGGGTGACAATTAGGATAGTGCCAGGCACTACACCAAACATCGAACCAATGAGGACAAGTGGGAGAGCGATGAGAGGAGAAGATGCATTGGAAGAAATGCTTTGCGGTTTGTCTGACACGACTGAAGGGGGTGAAGTTAATATTACTGCTTTGCTTGGTTTGCATACACGATGTGCTGTTAAGCCAGCATTGCTTCTGAAATACCAATGATATTGAGAACTGGTGGTAATGTTGCAACTGTTGTTTGCTTTTTGACGGTAATGATTAGATCTTTCAGATGGTGTAACAAGGGGCACTGTTGAATATTTTGACACTGCAGAGGACGTGATCGGGCTTGGGATACTAGCAATCATTGTTGACATGTTTGGCTCCTTGCATAATATTATCATTTCTGCAAGATTGATATACCCAAGCTTCTTTCCTTTGAATTGTGGGGGTTCGATACATATTACCTTGTCTTTGAATGACGGAAAGTCTGTTGTTTTCAGCCTTAAGGGGACCATCTTACAGTCACACTTCCAGGGGTTTCCCTTTAGTGGTATGTTAGTAATAGATGGCAACAAGCCATAAGCTAAAGGGGAAATGGTATGCAGCTTGTTATCCCGAAGATCTAAATTTTGTAGCCTTGGTGTACTTGCAAATGCACCTGGCTGAATTGTGCTAATCTGGTTTCCCTTCAAACTCAACGTTTTTAGTTGAGGTAGGTTTACAAATGCACCTGCATGAATCTCTGTTATCTTGTTGTGGTACAGAACCAACTTTTCGAGCTTGGGTAGATTTGCAAATGTACCTGCCATAATTTTTGTTATCCTTGTATTATCCAACCACAACTCTTTAATTTGCGGTAGATTGGCAAATGCACCAGCTTCAACCATTGTTATCGGGTTTCCAATCAGATATAACTCTGCTAGCCGTATTAGATTGGCAAATGTACCATATCGAAGTATAGTTAGCTGGTTACCGTTCAACACCAACTTACGGAGCTGGATAAGGTTTTTAAATCTATCTGTCTGAATATTTGTTATCTGGTTGGAATGCAGCGACAACGTCAAAAGGTTGGCTTGATTTTCAAATGTCCTTGGGTGTAAGCTAGTTATTTTGTTGACATATAAGTCAATTATGCGTAACTGGAGTAGATTTTTGAATGTCCCAGGATGAATGTTAATTATTTGATTGTTATTTAAGTACAACTCTTGAAGATTAGGTAGATTAGGGAAGCAATCAACAGTGCTAATCCGATTTAACCCCAAATGCAACTTAACCAAATCCCTGTACCGCAACAGTTCGGACTGATGTACAGCTGTAATATGATTCCTTTCCAAATCAAATTCAGTGATAGATGTTGGTTGGTTCTGAGGGATACTGGTGATTAGTTTGTCTGAACAGCTGCAGGGTACCGATTGTTGACAGCTGCACTTACGCCAGCTCCGGTCAGCTGCTGGCGTGTTGAGCTTCTCCAGGATGATGAGAAGGAAAGCCAGCAGGTGTCGCAGCTTTCTTCTCATTGTGACACCTATACAAACAGGAACCACCTCTGTAAAGTCTTTATAGTCTTTAAAGTCAAAGAATTTATATAGTGCATACTGATGAAAAAGGTAAGGGCACTATATTGTATCCAGAACCTTTCCTGTCTTGTTCTATGCCTAAATGCATGGGTTCTGGCTAGATTAAGGCACGGTTCTAGGTTGTTAAACTTAAAGAACGTAGATTTGCCCCTGGTACAGTTTTGGTTATTCTCTACGTATTCAACGCAAATCTGCTATAAACCTAATAGTATACAGAAACATGCCTGGGCATGACCCTGGATATAGTATGGTTCTGGATACAATATCCCCTTATATTTGTTTTTCTCCTCAAACCATAAGTTAACTCAAACTCCTGTCTCAAAACGATAAGATCTTTTAGTGGCTGCAGGGCAGTTTTATGAAACTGGCAAAGACGTATTATGGGCAGGGCAGAATCCAATGCGCCACCTTGTGAAAAGAGATTCCAAAATTGAAATAAAGAAAGCCCTATAAAATGCCTTTAACACTTAAAAATAATTCGAAATCTAAACCTTTGATTGGAGAGTGTATTTGGCTGCTAACAAAGAAAACTTCCAACTAGAAAGGCCAATATTTGCTTTGGAGCAAATACAGCGATGGGTTAACCACATTTTACCACATGGCAGGGAAAGAATGAGAAACACAAGGGAAAACAATGATTTACATTGATATAACTATAATATGAAGTAACATACAACTAAAACAACAGTTGGATAGCTATTCCCTACTTTATTGGTTAGGATTTTTAATTGCATAATGCAAACTGTTGATTTTCAAAATAAAAAAAAAAACGTTCATGCCCCGCATTCCAATGCTGGAGCAGAAAAGCTTGAAATACCTACCAAAACACTTGAATAAAGACATACTGTCAGTATGGAAATGCTCTGTGCAGGTGTTAATCAAGTTAAATCCCAACAGCCAATCAGCAAGAAATGCTCTGTGCAGGTGGAAATGCTCTGTGCAGGTGTTAATCAAGTTAAATCCCAACAGCCAATCAGCAAGAAGTATAGAGGAAAGCTGCATGCCTATTGGTTGAAAGCTGCATGCCTATTGGTTGATGCCCTGCATTCCATTGTGATGACTCATGCCCAGACGTGGTAAACACGGCACACTAACACAGTAATACATTTGCTATAACACAGCCAAAAAAACTCAAATAAAACCATTCTAAAAGCCTGTATCACAAAAATTTAAAAAACGCCTAGGGGTATTTGCCCACTGTACCTCCATACCAAATTTCAGGACCTTAGGCCCTAAAATGAAGAAGCTGAATCCATTTAAAAAATGGCAGGAGAAGAAGAAAGAGGAGAAGGAGAAGGAGGAGAAGAAACATCAGAAAAAGCAATATGGGTTCACCACCACTTCGTGGTGTGGTGAACCCATAAAAAGCCAGCTGCCGGATGAAACCTATTCTCTACTACTACGCTCCCGTCTGCAGAGGAACACAGGAGACCAATCTATGTGTGCGACACGTCGAGAAACACATAAAATTGCCTTTTGGCATATATAATAAACATCAATTCACGTGACAAGAGAACTCCAAGACAAGTGCGTCTCGAAAGCACCTTACAGTAGCAAACTATTCTTGTTCTGTGTATTGTTCAAAAATATTGTTTGAAAGCTAAACCTTGCTTGTATTGATTGTCTGAAGCTGACTGCTTCATATTGATATTTTGGTTGTTTGCTGCAAAAGCATGTTAAGGTATGTCCGGCATTAAAAAAAATCAGTTTAAATAGATTCGTATTCAGACGAAAGCGGTAAAAGCACATTGGATTTTGATTCCACCTATAGTAGGCAGGATTCACGTGGCCCAATCTTAACGCTTTGAATCTCATTGAAAGCAGCGTAAAGGTAAATCACTTAAGAGGTAGTTCCGAACTGGATAGGGACTTAAGTCTGAACGCGATGAAATTTCACAGGGTTTACTTTGCATTTTGTCCCGGTCATGGATTACAGGGTTATATGCATATGTTGGGGAATTCGAAAGTCTTACGGGTAGTTTTGAGCAGGTTTGGCGAAAAAGATATCCTACAGGACAAAAATAGATGATAGATTTTGAGACAAAATTAATCGTCATAATTTTGAGGGGTTGCATTACTTTCATCGTCCAGAAACATTAACCCTATCCGGACTGAAGGGGGGGGGGGGGCTTTTGAGGCCAGACGGTTTTTGGAAAAAATCAGTAATTTTGGTTCAAACAATGAAATTTTCTAAATTTTGTCTAACAGTCCGAAAATGCCACAATCCACCATTTTAAGATACGCTTGGAGAATCAAATTCTGATTACATGTATTTAGGCACATTGTCCGCACAATAATAATAACCTTAAAGAGCAGGCTTGCACTATATAAGAACCCAATAAATTCGGCTAACGTAAACTACCAGGCCCCATTCTGTCCCTGACTACCGTGGTGGTAACATGGGCACAGGGCTCTTGAAGACACTTTGTGTTTGTAACATATTGAAGACAAATAAGGAATTTATGTACATGTACAGTCTGTTTTACAGAAAGAAGATAGCCTCACCTTACCCAGAATATAGTAATTACACCACTGTACTGTTTTGCCAAGGTTTGGTGGTGTTATAGATTGGCCGGCAGTTACTTGAACAGTTCTAACAGAGATCCAGTCTACATGTATACTAGTGCTGCTTTCTCATACTACCAAATTGACACCACAATTGCAACCCATATTTCTAGACTCACTTACTATCCAAGCTAATTCAGTTGTGAGGTTGCCATTTTAGATATCTATAATTAGAGGCTTTGATGAAATGTTGACAAGACAGTTTGAAAAATTGAAATTTGACCACAAAGTTGGTTTTCCAGAAACTGAAAGTTGCAGATAGTATTTTCTTGATTTATGTGACTCAGTTACAGCTATCCCGATCATTATGCATGGTTTGATATTGTTAGTTTGAAAACCAGTATAGAAAAAAACATTTGAATTTGTTCAAAAAGAGTGACAGTTATTATGCTAATCTGTCCCTGCCATTGTTTTCGGTGGCTGGACCGTCTAGGATGTTTATTAGTTTATGTGGTTATGGGGGTCAATTCACTATTCAAGCTGCTGGAGAAGCCACAGTGGGGAGTACTTCCTTATTGCGTCGCCCTGGGCACCGAATCCTCCAGTTTAAGTCCACTGGCAGAACCCGGGCAGATAGACGCACACTTCAGTGTAGGAACTCGACGTGTAGATCAACTCAGGCACCGGCTGTTGTTGTTGTTCTTGCGTGGAGTGTCCTTCAATTGCTGATCCATAATGCCGCGTGACAAACAACCCAGGGTTAGTCTTTTACAGATGTGGTGTTGATTGTCTAAAACTGGCTATTTGAATAATATGAAGATTTATGATTCTTACATAAATTATAATGCAGATCTCGAGATACACGCTTATTTACATCACACTTACATATTAATGCCAATGTTGTTTACTCTTTCTGCTGGCTTCTGTAATATCAATTGCACTCTTGAAATAAGACAATTTACCAGAAGTATAGAAAATTAAAGACTTCTCTCCTAAAAGGTTCGAATCTTCAATCTTTTTCTAGAATACCATATATCCCCGTTTCTTAGCAACTTAGCCATAGATAATTTATGAAGCTGAAGCTGGTTGAATATTAAGTTTCAATTTTTTGCTGCCGTTTTGGACCTTCCAGATAAAGAAATCAAAAGTAGAATAGAAAATACATATAACATAAATGATCTATGTGGAAAGGCTCATCTGCCTTTTCTAAAGTACGATTGCAAACAGTTATCATTAGATAGTAATGTGTTCATCAGTTATCTCGTCTAAATAATGCAGTCAAAAATCCACGATAAGTGAGAATAAGCTGCTGCTAGTTTAAAAAAATCAACATTTGGACTCTTCCTATGTAATTTGTCCCATGACGTAAAAAAATCAGTTCAGCATCCCTGTTCCCATTGTCACAATAACATGTTTACAACATGCCCAAGAAAAGAAAAGATAAAGCAGATCGCTGGTCCGCCTCTTATCTCTCGCGTTGTCAAAATCAGAAAATGCCACAATCTTCTACCCCAACATGTGCTTCGAGAACCATATAGCAAATTGTAAGCACCACAGCTAGTGCAGTTTACGTCTGTCCAGTTGTAAAAACTGACCTTTCCGAAGCTAATCAGATAGCACAGCTGGCTTCTTCAGGCTGAGTAGGAACTCGTGTAGAACAACTCATGCACCTGCTGCTGTTGTTCATGCAGGGAGTGTCCTTCGGTAGCTGATCCGTAATGCCGCGTGACAAACAACCCAAGGTTAGTCTTATACAGATGCGGCGTTAATTGTCTGAAGCAATTTTAATATTTGCATTAACATTAATGCTTACAACTAAAATTGCAATGATTATTCTGAGGTCTAGTGATACAAGAGATACATTTTAGTTTTTTTTATACCTTCACGTCTACTACTAGCGAAATGCAAATAGGGATCGTATGTCCAGTTTGCAGTAAGTTCGTAAAAAAGTTGCAATATAGATTTAAAACAAAGGCATTGATGTGTGATATTTTTTATATTTTTATACTTTAATTGTCAACCTCGGTACTTATCTCACAAATGTATAAGTACACCATAGTATATATTATTCAAAAGGACAATAAGCACGGTATTCAATGGTACAGAAACTGTTAATATTGAGTAGAAATACTTTTTTTAAAGTTTCGTAGGCCGACTTTTAACTTTGTGAAAATTTGCAAAACGAATTTATTGTATGGCTAAATATGCCGATTGTGTATCTTAAATAAATGGTCACATTTTTTCTATATACATACATACATACATACACATACGCACACTGTTTTATTTATGTGTGTGTGTGTGTGTGTGTTTGTTTGTTTGTTTGTTTGTCTGTGTTTGTGTGTGTAGTTTTTAATGATGTTTAATATGCTTATATTCATTCCCATACAGACAAGTGAATACCGCGAAATGTCTTCGATCCGACAGTAAAATACACCATTGTGGATATTCCGTCATAAAAAGCCAATATATCAGTCGTAGTAAGGCAGATGAAATTTTGAGGCCGAAGGTAACAGATGCTTTTTTACGATTTTTTTAAAAATCTAGTTGGCGGTAGGCACGCGTTAAGAATTCGAAGTGCTTTTGAAGATAATATGGTGATCACATAAGCATCTGGATAGGAGAAGAAGTAGAAACCCATAGTGATATCGGTTGCTAGGCTAAAAGTCGCATTACTAGGGAGGTATCGGGTTACAGAACGTGTTTGAACGTGGCCGCGCGGGAGTCCCAGGCCGGCCCGGGGGCAACGGGTAAAATTTGAAAATAAACAAAAGTAATTGGAGAGTAAATACTCGTCAAAATAAAATGTAATAAGTGATTTTGTTTACCTCAAATTTTATTCTTGCACTGCCTTTGCTCCACTTTGTGTACATTTGCTTCCAAATGAGATCAATTTCGGATTTCAAAAAGGGTTCACGAGAACCAAACAACTGATTTTAAGAGGCTCCGAAAATTAAAAATAACGTTAAATTTTTGGATTTTTTGAGATATTACAGTAAATTTAAACTTTCTGTTTTAGGATTTTTAATTTTTTAACTAAAACTCGACTTACAGTCAAAAGAAGAGCTAAAAACGCAGTGTTTTAACTTTAAATACCGATAATTCATAATCGCGTCCATATTTTAAAAATCCCTAAGACAGAAATCTGCGGAAATCGTTCCTCTTCCAAACAAGCCCTCAATGAGGTAATTTGAGCGATTTTTGGGAATGGTTAAAATACCATGTTTGCACGCATGCTGTGCCACTTGGATATGAAGACCTGGATTTTTTAACAGCGTCAACAAGAATTCTGACCTTCAAGGTCACCCACGATGACGGCAGTAGCTTCGTTACATGTTACATATCCACAATAAAATCACGGCATAGATGTAATGTTTTGAAAACGGTTCATATTTGTGGAAAGGTGGATTTTTCCTGTTCCGTGGTTCCCAAGTAAAAAAGGGCTTGAATTCGAAGTAGCCGGTTGTAGCGGCTTTACTGTAAATGACCGCGGGTAACCCCAGATCGAACGCCCGCTCTATTCGAATGACGTCATATCGAACAAGATTCGCGGGTTCGGGGGATTCGATCTCGATAGTAGCGGAGTGGGACTTTTGGGCCCAAATCTGACCATCGTGCAGAGTAGCTATAGATAAAACACACTCTTACTAGTGTCTGTGTCCGCCTGCTGAATGACAGTTATAGTAGCAGAACTGTAAGTCGTGATGGCAGTGTTTTATTTGATTTTATAGTGATTTATGTCTTTGTTAATTCTGACTTGCAATGCATAATGCTGATAAGCATAAGATTTTATTGGTAAGAAACCGCAATTCAGCACTTGTGCTGCAAGGGTTTTTGTGAATAATAAACCACTCTCTCTCTCTCAACCATTCTCTCTTACCAGGGCTTCTATGGTTACCTATAAACTGGTCTGACAGAGGGATGTTTTCTTTTATCCTACTGGTCTCCCTGGTCGTTCAGACATTAAATTTGCTGTTATACTTGTTAACCTTTTAGATCATTCACGAAGACATTACATGACATGTTACTAAAATTGCAAGACGATGAATTGGACTTCACAACCGAACCAGAGTTCTTAATAATGATTTAGAAGCCAAAAATCAAGTGATTGCTTACGATTTTCTGTTAAAATAGATCATATGTTTACACTGAAAAGGTATGGTTTGAGTGTTACATAATAACGACTACGTCACACCTTTTCTACAATATATGGTTCATTGCTATGGAATAATTAAGGGTTAATGGCCCGCCCTTTCTCGGTGAATATGGTGTGATAAAGCCTTTTCAGTTGCTATAACCATCGAATAAAGCCACCGAGTGAGCGCAGCAAACAGTACAGTACACACACAGTAAAGAGTGACACAGTCGATATCCTGTAGAACACATACATTAACTTAAATTGGCCTGGAAGGCAGTTGCATAAGACAGGCGCATTTATACACTGAACGAGCAAACTTCAGAATCCTACACATACAATAAAAAAGTCGACTTATTAATAAAAATATACTAGTTACCACACGGTTAAGTTCATGCCTCGCTGTCTTTCATTTTAAAATGTAAACAAACGCTACAAGATTTCCTCTGTACTATTTTTTGTACCTACGTAATAGATAATAGATACGCGGATAATAACTCACAGTGTTCTGCGGGGAGAATCGGCTCCGCCCCGAAGGCGTCGCCAAAAGGACTACGGAATCAGCTTGAACCGGAAGTGGGACCTTGTAAATAGAATACGGAAGTAAACGCGCGGGGAAGGCGTTGGAAAAGTTCGCGGCTTGCAAGTGAGTATTTAAAGCGTATTTTTGGTATCCGTACGTTCTGCAAATCGGCCCATGATTGCGTGTAGCGTTTCTGCAACATGTGAAATGTCGTCCTGTTGTGTGTGTGCGCGCATGTGTGTGTGTTTGCGCGGGCGTGTGGGGGAGGGAAGGTGGGGAGGGGAGCAAGGTTTAGAATACACAAATTATATCGGCTATTAATAATAGTATTATGCAGGTTAGTGCAAGCAAGGAGATTAAAAAAAATCAAATGATTCTACCTCATATTTCTGATGTTTACCTGCACCTAACCTGCAGCTGTCCATTTACATTTATTTATTTTTAATTAGATATGATAATTTATACCTGTAGGTACTATATGTGTAACGTTACTCTCCTTGGTGTCTATTTTCATAACTGTATACTTTGGCTGTAATACCATCTACATGAAGTATAAAGTACCATTGGGCTCTTCCATAAATAAATATTTAGGAGGGGGTGGGAGAGGTGAAAATCAACTTTGGATCCCACCCTAGTTCCAATCCAGATTTTACTGAAACCCCCCCCTAGTCCCTCGGGTTTACGGAAAACCCTGGGCTGTCTACCTTACCAGGCTACCTTACCAGTCTACCTTGCCTGTCTAGGACGTCAGGCTACTGAACTCCCCCCATCCACAGCCTCACGAACTGCAAGACTCCCAAGCAGCTGCGCCCCCTGGCGGAATGCATCAGAATTGCACCCACTACTTTGGCACGTGCGTGTGCACAAACCTTAGGGTCTCATTCATGAGTTTTTTCCATACATTAGAAACCATGCATTAATGAGTGACTTACGAGACCGTGTTCCCTATGATCCTACATTAAATCAATTGATATCTTTCATGCTATGTTGAGCACACTTACTCTACGTCTCATAAAAAAATTGCCAACGACTTCTATACACACAATCCTGTTTTATGGGAATCACAAACTGCACTTAGCAACTGTCCGCAAGAGGCCCTCCCGCGCTGCAAACCTACGACCGCACAACTCACAACAATGGACTGTGCACGTCCGACCTAGCGCGCGGCTGCCGACAATTACGTCCTAATTTCATCAGTTACAAACAAGCTTTCACCGCTTTGACGTTTTACATCAGTTGGGATGGCTAAAGGGAAAATTCTCACCAATAAAAACACGCGTTCATACAGCCGTTTAGTTTTTGACTTGGTACACTCGGAGTAATACATGAATGAGACCTTAGGCCTGACTAATCGCGCTCCTGGCGGGCGGTCGCCCCGAAGTGGGTGGGGGGCATTAACCTCCGACCGAGCAAGGACATTATACACACTCTTGTACAATGTCTCTGGACCGAGTTATTATAAACAAGAAATTTACTGAGGCGAATAGAAATATAAAACTGAACAAGATATTATATTTTATTTTAATTTTTTTCTTCTGGAGTTTTAATGAGCCAAGGGTAATCAACAGTAAACAGGGAAACGGATCTCGTGGTTACGTTGATCTTTGAGAGCGCACGGGTCGGAGTGTGTATTGTATCAGAACAGGGTGAACTTTTGACCTTTTGTGCGGGGGCAGCATTGTCCGACGCACATCTGTAGATAATCTTGGGACTGTACGATATTTACCGGGGGAGGGCTGGTGCACTGGGGGGTGGGGGTGCACGTGAGGGCCATTGAAATTTTTTTTTGGCCTGGGAGGAGGGCCATGGAAAAAATATTTTAACCGAGGGGAGGGCCATCGAAAAAAAATCGGCCTGGAGGGGGGAGGGCCACCGAAAAAGTTGTGTAAAATGTATGGCGTTGCGTAGTACAGAATTACACCTTAAATTCCAGAATATAGTACGCACTTTTTATTTAAATTTTTAAAAATCCCAAAAGTGTCTCGGGCCGTTGCCAAAGTCCGGATGCGTACTTTGTTTGAGATTTCCCCCGACAAATCCATGGACGACCCAGGAATATAGCGGAACATCGGCACGGAGAGCGACTTCGATCGTCCATAGCGTGTTTAGATAAGAATATTGACGAGTGGCTTCAATAAATGAACATATTTCCTCTGACTATTGCCAATATTGACACTAAGGGCCACTAAGTTGCGGTAAAAGAAGAAGTCAAGTCACCCACGGTAAGAAAATGTAGGTCACTGGCAATGACGCCCGGTGCTTTGTCATGCCGACAGGATCGTTCCCCAGCCAGCCGGCGCCGATCTCAGTAACCCCGGCCGAAAAAATAACCTCCCGTAAGTACATATACAATTGTAAGAGGGTTATGAGTGGTAATATTTGAAATGGTCCGCAAGCCGCGTGAACGTCCTTGTTCGTCGTAACGTAACGTAATGTCTATCACATAACAGTCGTGCCTCGACTGATGGTCAGTTAAATGCACTTCCGGCTTGAGTTGAACTTCAACAAATATTATGCCCATGCCGTTTCAAAGGTTCAGTTGACAGAAATTATTATCCATGTTTCACTTCGTATTACAAATATTTTTAAATCTTGATAAATGCAACAGGAGATTACTTTGTAGCGGGCTATACCAGCCAGTACGAGGTGAAAATTCCAGCTAGATGTACTCCTACGGGACCCGACTGTTCGGCAAGCTACAATGATAGGGGCGGAGTTAACTTAAAATATAGTCTTTGATGAATGCGCCCGGCCGGTGGGTGGGGTGTTTGACGAGCCGACACCTACAGCTGAAGAAGACAGAGCCGTGGCAGCACTGAGGACAGCCCCGAGAAGCGAAGGAAGTCTTTCTTTCCTCTGTACAGACTGTACTTATACGTTTTACGGAGTACAAATTAATATTCCCTTGGAGTGTTTATTCCTTTGATTTTGTGACAAAAACATCTATCACATAACGAGATTACTAGTACTTGAAACGCAGTCAAACTTTTCACTTTCTCCTGTTCGGAATCGCCAGTAGTCTTTAGTTGTTGTGTAATTGGTTTCGGTGTGAAATTTTAAATTCGGTAGCACCTCTACACCCAAATACTCCGCCCAGTTCTCCGCCCGTTTGATTGTTTCTCTCCATGGGTTGATCGGGCGGGCCCTATTAAAGATGTGTTCGGCGCATTTCGTATTCTAAAAACAACAAAGCTACGTACTTGTACATCAACATTGAACTACCCCCCGTTACAGATAGAATCAATATCTAAATATTGTCTTTTTTTCACAAATCTTTATTTACTATTGCTTGCTTGATCACCAACACTCTCCGGGATCCAAAGCTGTACGTTCCGCCGGACTTGCCTTACCTCGCGGTGGCGACGTCTTGCAAGTCGGCTGCGGCCAGCGGTGAAAACAAGGCCGAAGCGTTTCCCGCTATGTTACCATACAATCACGTAGTACACGGCATAAATCTAGTTTTTAAGACTTTTTTTTTGGAACTACATGTCCACAGTGGTACCGGCCGTGCATACGTTTCAGACATGAATATTTGTCTCCCACCAGCC